AGTTGACGCCGAGGAAAGCAGCCGTTAACAAAGACTGACAATACCTCGTCCGGCTGATCCTAGCCTACCTCGACGACAGGTGGATATGCCACGCCAGCAAGGAAGGTCAGGAAAGGCGACTCGTCGAGCGCGGCGTCCTGCAGGGTTCGGTGTTGGGACCGATCCTATGGAACGTTGCAGAAACGTCGCGTACGACGAGGTACTGCGATGCCCGCTGCCCCCAGGCGCGGCCATGGTGTGCTATGCGGACGACATTCTGGTCCAGGTCGGAGGTCGTGGTTGGCACGAGACACTGCGCATCGGCGAAATCGCAACGGCCTGCGCGACCCGTGCTGAGCGCGGACTGGGCCTGAGGGTCTCCCCTGCGAAGTCGGAGGCCATTTGGTTCTACGACAAGAAGAGGCGAGGGACCCCACCGGCCGGCCTATGAATAAACATGGCAGGCGAAACCGTCCGGGTGGGATCGCAGATGAAATATCTAGGTCTTGTCATCGACAGTCAGTGGACGTTTGAGCCACACTTCGACTCCCTGATTCGACAGCCAGTGGACGTTCGAGCCACACTTCGACTGCCTGATTCCGAAAGTGTCGGTGGCCGCTAATGCCCCATGCGGCCTGCTACCGAACATCGGCGGGGCGGGAGAAGCGGTGCGCCGACTTTACGAGAGCGTCGTTCAGTCCGGAGTGATGTACGGAGCCCCGGTATGGGCGGACGAACTGATGGCGAGTCGTCGCAGTACCCTGCCCCTGAGGAGGCTGCACAAGGTAACCGCCATCAGAATCATTAAGGGATACCGGACGGTGTCCCGCACGTCGCCGCGTCCCCTCCTTGGGAGCTCCGGGTGCTGGCGCTCAAAAGGAGATACACCCACCGGAGAGTATGGCATCCGGGAGAAGATCTGACCGAGCAGGCGGCTCCAAACGACCTAGGAACGGCTGGGGAGAACATGTGGGACCTGTGGCGATCCCAGCAGATAAACAAGGGAGGTGAACATCGAGGCGCGGAGGCGGTCCTCCTAAACTGGGAGGCATGCAAAAGCCGCCATTGCCTCTCGCTCACATTCAGGATGACCCAGGTGCTCACCGGACACAGCGTATTCGGAGAGTTCCTGAAGAGAATCAGACGACAGACGATAGACATCTGCCACCACTGCGGAAAGGGCAAGGACACAGCGCAGCACACCCTGGAGCTCTGTCCGGCGTGGGAGCTACCCCGCTATACTCTGCGGCACGCCATAGGAGAATCACTGACCCCCTCAGCGATTGTAGAAGCGATGCTGAGAGAGTCACAGCAATACGAGGTCGTCCGCCTCTTCTGCGAGCGAGTTATGCTCGCGAAGGAGCAAAAGAAAGAACAACGAGCAGAAGAAAGAGCAACGAGAGAAAGAAAAACTCCCACCCTCGTAGGATAAGACGATGGAGAAGAATGGTAGTCAGACGACCTAGAGCCGCTCCACCGCCGTCCCAACGGACCACGACTGGAAAGAGCGACAGCGCTAGGGGCAATGACCCCCCCCCCTAACCACAATTTAATAGTCGGGAGGTATTAGGACTGGCTCGAATAAGAGGACGCGAGAAGGGGGTGCAACGGAAGTTAATTCATAAGAGGTTCCTGGAGCACTCCTGTCACACGCGTAGGCTGGTTATCGTGGAGTTTTAGTCGGTAGGAGTCCAACACTACTCTGCTATTACGTGATTACTGCAGCAGCGAAGTGTCCATGAGGATTTCTCCACGTACAAAAAAAGAAAAAAAGGTTGGAAGGACGGCCTCCAGGGCCCTTATCCCCGGCGCACCCCATCTCGTGTCGGCGCCCACCGGGCCCACCCCGCCCGACAAACCCGAAGTGTGGAGATAAATCTCGCGACATCTCAGGACCTGCAATTCGAACGGGGGAAACC